TAATAATAATAACTTTATTTATGCACACTGCAAGATGCACTTGTGCAAAAAAAAATTTTGAAATGAAAAGAAATTAAAAAAATTAATTAACAGTTATTTTTTTTGAAAAATAGCAACAACAAATTTGATTGAATAAATTGAAGTTATGTTGATTCAAAAGAAATTGATCAGGAGAAATAAATTGATGACGGTTAGAAAAATTATAATAATCACAATTAAAAAGAATATGCTGAGGATCTTGAATAAAACGATTACATTCACAAAACGGCGAAGAAATAATATTCATACGATGTAGATAATTATTGAAATTTCCGTGAGCAGAAAGAAATTGCATATTAAAGAAAGTCGGACGAAAGAAGGAAGGGATCGGAAGCGATAAGAAAAAACTACGAAAATTTGAATTTGTTTCATTGAAATAATTTTCTATATATTGTTTTTCACGATTGATACGTTCCAATTTTTTGACCAATTTATCCGGAATAAAATATGTTGATGACAAAATTTCACAATAATCATCGAGATGACAGATATTGCAAACAACCGAGATGATGTTTTTGGAAACCGTACGATATGATTTAGTAGCTTTAATTAAAATATTATGTTGCAACGACACTAATTTTGATTTAGACTTAACAGTAATTCTATCGAACCAAATTTGGCAACCATAAGTAATAGCTGGACGGATCATACTTTTAAAAAGATTAATTCTTTTGATACAATTAATACCCCACGTGTTGCCAATAAACGCGAAAAAAATATTAGAAATCTTCTTAATTTTATCAATTAAATTGTTAATATGTGGAGTAAAATTAAGTTTGTTGAGATGTCGATGATTACCAAATGTGATACCCAAAATTTTAAGAACAAGAGACGGAAATAAATTAACATTATTCGATAATGAAATTTTAGGAATCGGTTTATTGAATAAATACAAAATATTCGTTTTTTTATGATTTATTTCCAGTTTACGACTACAACACCAGCACTCTATGAAAGAAATGGAAGATTTAATAACATCGATCAAATTTAGTTTAGAATCAGCCCAACAGATAATCGTAATGTCATCAGCAAAGGCGACAATCTTTGAATTTGGAATTGAATATGAAACTAGAAGATCATTAATAAGAATAACCCAGAGAAGAGGGGACAAGGCCCCTCCTTGTGGACAGCCATTTGACAATAATTTCCATGAACAATATTTAGAATAATTAAAAGAAACCGAACGATTATTGAGATAAGATTTTAAAATTTTGATCAAGTCACCGGGCAAATTCTGTTTATCAACTTCAAATAATATGGCCGGCCACCAGGCCCTATCAAACGCAGAAGCAATATCGATGGTTATAATAGCAGTTTTATGAGATGATTTATAGAAAAGAGCACAATCTACAATAGACTTGAGTGCAGAAATTGTTGATTTACCTTTAATAAACCCATGTTGATCAGTATGCAAGATATTTGCAAAATGAGCATAAATTCTACTATTTAACAATTTTTCAAAAAGCTTTGCAAAATTAGATAATAGGCTGATAGGACGGTAACTTTTCATATCAAAATAATCAGTTTTGTTGGGTTTTGCCAAAATACGAACTGTAGCTATTTTCCAGGCGTAAGGAAAGTAATGTAAATCAATACATTTATTAAATAAAGCCAAAATACATGGAGCAATGAGATCAGCAGAAGAAGAAATCATTTTATTCGAAATATGATCAATACCAGGAGCCTTTTTGTGGTTCAAATTTTTTATGAAAAACAACAATTCTTCCATATTAAATAATGTTTTGCTGTGATTATTGAATGAAATTTGATGATTTCTTATGGAACTAGCTGCTGGATTATCATTTGAAATGTTATCATCCGGAAATAAAGAATCTAACATCAAACACATTTTAGCTTGTTTATTAGACGGGGCAAGATCATCAATTAATGGAATTCGATTATTGCTTTTTGATAATAACATTTTCAATATTTTATAAGTATTACCAAAGTGATCTTTGGAGTCAGCATCTTCAAGAAATGTATGAAAAGAATTGCGTTTCGCTTTTCTAATGTTGTTAATATAACTGTTTCTGGCAATGATATACTCATCCTTCGAAATCATAGGAATAGGTCTATAGTACAAATTTTTGATATGATGAAAATGACGTTTTTGATATTCAAGATCTTGAGACCACCAGGAGTATTTTTTCGGATAAGGATTAAATTTACGAATTGGAAGTGAAGAATAGGCAGCTTCAATAAGAATTTTTGTGAGACGGTGAACAGCATGATCAATATCTTGAGGACTAGAACAACAATCAATAAAATGAAACAATTGATTGATATGGTCACGATTAATACTATCAATAAATGGTTGCATATTATTTTCTACAAATTTCCATGTAGATTTGATGAAATGCATTTCAAAATTGTCATTAGGAGAAGCGATATCAAATAAAATAGTTTCATGATCTGACAATTGTGTAAATCTAGAAACTTTCCAGTTTACAATATAATTATAAGCTTTTGAATTAGTGACAGTCAAATCAATTATGCTGGATTGTCGGCAAGTTTTAGATTTGTTATTGATAACAATGAGATTATACAAATCGATGATTTCTTTAAATTTATAACCATTTTTATTTATGATAGTATCATTCCAATAGGTATTTCTTGCATTAAAATCACCCACAATAATGATAGGATAATCATCAAAAGACGCAAACAAATCAGAAAAATAATTGAAATGCACCTCACTGAATGAATTAGAATGCAAATAAATATTAACAAGAATAATTAATGAAGAATTTGTTTGGATTTTGATGGCAGTGGCGAAATAATTAGTAAAATTATCAATTTGATTAACAATTAAAGAATTGTTTAAAACAACAATCGGACAATATATGATAGAATTATCAGAAACTTGAAAAATTCGAGATACGATGGGGAATGGAGGACGATTATTGACGACATAAGGCTCTTGAAGAGCTATAATATCTGGATTAAAATTTACAATTGAACTTCTTAGTTCATTATGAGCTGTGGGACTTTTTCTTAAATTTTGTTGAATAATTTTAATTTTGTTGTCCATCGATAAGCATGGAAGAAGATGATTGTTGTGACGAAAGTTCAATTGTAGTGGTTAATCGACTAGAAGACGGAAAATCAAAAGGTTTGAATGCTGTTTGATGAAAAATTTTATCAATTTGTTTCTGATACAAAGGACAATCAATAGTATTGGGTTTGTGGCAAACTAAATTAGATTTAACATTATTTTTAAAGTAGTTGATACAATTCAAGCAATTATGGATTTTTGAACATTGATGAGTACCTTCAGAACCACAGTCAGAACAAATGGGTTTATCTTTGCGCGGGCACTCAGTGGATTTATGAGAATTGAACTGAAAACAAAATTTGCACTGTCTGACGAAGACGCGATGATAAAATTTTACAGCTTCAAAATCGGTAAACAAAATATCTTGATGGGAGATACGATTGAAGACATTAGGAGACACTCTTAAAACAATATCACGATGAAATGTACTTGAACGGAATTCAAAAGCAACTTTGATTTCAGATTCCAAACCAGAAAGCTGTTCATTGACATTTGATAAAATGCTAGGAATGTCTTTTGATTGAGTAAATTTGTTGACCTTTTTCAAGACAATAGTAGGATCACGTGGTTTGGGGATGAATACTGTAGCCATACTATTAAATTGATCAAGTTTACGAAAATGATCGATGAGCACATCTAGATCGTTGCTATTTGGCATCTTGATTATATTACCTTTGGCACTTCTGATAATCTTATTAATTTTTAAACATGGTTTAACTTTTCTCAAATCTTTAATAGCTTGATTAACTTTACCATTAATATCATTGCTCGATACACCTTCATTGGCATTCACGAACAAGGTAAATTCATTTGGTTTTGAAGAATTAGTAGGAGAGACAGAAAACGAAGAATCATGTTTTGGCTTCGCAGCGACAACATTGTATGGAATAGGGGCATTCAATTTATCTCTTATTTCCAACAATAATTTATTTGATTCATCAACATTGGTATTACACTTATTAAACAAATCATCGTACATTTTCTTCATATTTTCGGAAGCAACAATAATAGCATCAGCATACTTGGAAACAGACCGTTTGTCTTGAATTGAGCAACAATTTTTAATAATATCAAAACATTGATGAAAATTTAAATTTGAAATCAATCCAGTATTCGATATATACTTATCAAAATTGTCATCATCTTTTTTATGCATTTTTGAAGAGTTGTTTTCAGACTCGGAGTCTGACGTAACAACTGAATAAGTAGCGTTTTTTTTTCTCTGTTTTGGCATAAATAAAACAGAAAAAGAATCAAAAAAAAGAATCAAAAAAGAATATCAAAAAAAAGAATTAAATTTGTAAACACTTTTATGGATAGGTTTGTCTAACATAATATTATTTGACAAATAAAAATATTTATGTGAATATCATTTAGCTGAGATATTTTTTTTTGTAAAATTCATTGCTTAATTTAATGTGTGTGTGTGTGTCTCCAAAAAAAAGAGACATTTATTTATCTTTTTTTTCTTACTTAATACGAATCTTTTATTCATGTTATATGTACATTATCATCATCATCATCATCATCATAAACATTAATGTAGAATGTTTTTTTTTTATATTAAACAAAAAAGTCATTTGTAATTTATGATCAAAATTCTTAATTGATATAAACATGATGATTATATAAAGTGGAAAAAAAAGTAAAAAAAATTTTATTTCAAAAAAAAGTAAAGCAATTAAGATGAGCAATAATGATTATGGCAATCATTTCAAGAATATCACAATCAAAATATAATAATGATAAAATATTCATAGACATTTTTTTTTTCTTTGGATATATAAATTATGTTTATCTATTTAGCTTGTGTGTGTGTTTGTTTGTTTGCACTAAAAATCAAAATTTATCAAATATGATGATAATAATGTTGACATCTTATCTATATATAAAACAAACCAAAATGGTTTGTTGAAAAAAAACGGTCTAAATAAATAGATTGTATATGTGATCAGGTTGTTCAATGATTTTGAATAATGATGATCATTCTTTGTCCAACCCTAAAAAAATGTTCAAATCAAATTTGATTAATAAGATTTTCGTTTGTTTGTTTTTGTTTTTGTTTTGTTTGATGGTTTTCGTGACCATCAACATTTTCGACATAAAGTTTCATGGCCTCCTACCTGTTGACTACCTGTTGTTTTTGTTCATAATTGATGAACGAAAACAAAATTTGAAAAATTTGAAGGTTAATCCGGTTCCAGAAA